CTTGGAATCACACCATCTAAGCTGACGTTCCAATGCGGTGCTGGTGGGTGTGTTGCATTGTCGGAGGTGCCGTCCTCTTCAGCTGAGATCTTAAACTGAGGTCCCGTCTGTCTGTTCGGGTGGACGTTAAAGATCCCGCGGCACTATTAGAGAAGAGAAGGGAATTTCTCTCTCCCCGTGTCCTGGCCAACACTCCCCCCACCCCCTTCCCAAATAAAATCAGTCGTGCTTTCCCCAGCTGTTTGTGGGGACGCTGCTGTGCGCAATCGGCTGCTGCGTTTCGCCCACAAAATACACAGTCAATTCACTTTACAGTATATTCTGTGTGGGGTTTTGAGACGTCTGGAAGCCATGATAAAGCACTGTATAAAATGCAACGATTATTATTCTCACCATGATTCCTAATTTTTCTTCCCAGAACATATTTAGTTTTAAATCTGCGAGTAACTGGGTAAGGGTGTAACTGGGCACACAAGCACCTTAGGGTACAGGCAGAGCCCGAGCACAATTGGAGCTGTGCAAATGAGATTTAAAAATACTTAGATCAGTGCCAACAAAATAATAATAATAATAATAATCCTTGCATTTGATACAGGGCCTTATCACATCATTGAGGCATCTCAAAGGGCTTCACAGAATATACTGCAAATTTTGTGTGTGAAACACGGCAGCCAATTGCACAAGAACCTTTAGCTGAATGAATCTTCATTGAAAACAATTCAATTACATCACAGCGACCTCTACTCTGTCAATCTTAATGTCTTTATTCTAATTCAGGAGTTCCCTGATTACCTCTGGGCCGCTTCGAAGCGCTTTGAGATGTCTAGAAGACGTGAAAAGCGCTATATCAAATGCGAGGATTATTATTATTATTTACAATACTCGGATTTCAACACTTGCATCTTCTTTCCAAAAGATATTTCTTTTTTTGTGCGTATTAGTTTCTTTAACCAGGTTCACAGTTTTGGGGCTTCAATGAATCTGCCTCCTTTGCAGTCACCAGTCTGTTGGGATTAACATAATAATGCTCTCGCTGGAGACAGGTTTGTAACAGACACATTTGCAAAGTAAAAGCAACGCTAATGTTAACCATAACTGCTTGGATGCTTATCCATTATATCTGTTTGTGTGTGACTAAGGAGGGGGTTGGGGGAGGGTGAGGGGTGAAGCTGTGTTTCCAGCCACTACGCCCGGAAGCTTTGAAACTCTCTCCCCCAATCCCTCCGCCTGGCCCACTCCTCTCTCAGATCACGACTGAGGCATCTTCCTCTTCGACCGTGCTTACGGTCAACTCATCGCTCCCTTCCCCCCTCAGGCTCCGCCACTGTGAAGCGCTTCGAGGGGGGCGGGGGGAGGCGGGGTGCTGTGTAAATGCAAGTTCCCGCTGTTAATATAGAAACACACACAGATGTCAAGTGAAATCCATCTTAGAACACGTTGGGAGCACAGAGTGCAATTCTGCTTGCCACGTTACAGGAAGGGATTCTATGCAATTCCATATAATTCAAAGGTTCGAATCGACAGCTCGGTCCCTGACACCCCCAAGCGTTTTTTGAGGCAGTGGTGAAAGATCCAATAGAACCCGTGACATGAGGTGAAGACCGACCACACAATATGATCAGACCACAGTGACACCAGTGCCAAAATCCACCTGTTCTTTCCAGAGAAATAGAAACAGCAAGCGGAGAAAATAATCAAGAAAATATATTTGCATAAAATGCGGAGGCGACAAGGTTCTAATCAGGGAGGACAGTGCGAGACTCGATGGCATTTCCAACACAATAGTGTTATTGATGGCAGCTTGACAGAGGATTCACTGTGGTTTGGCATCCGGCCAAATTCTTCAGATTGTCACAATAGAAAATATTTAAATGCATAACTTTAAAGTCTTGTAGCCTGTATGCCATTATGGGCAGGAGGGTGTGGAGGTTCAATGTTATGGAATCAGCCCGGAACACACACAGTTGTAAAGAGTCGAACCAAATGGTGAGACCACAGCTTTAACCACCAACTTGTGCCGGCGATAAAAATTGGATGAGTTCTGTATCCCGAGGGAGGTGTGTGGGGCAGGACTCTGGTCTGTGCATTGCTTTGGTACCATGCCGTGCAAATAAGTGACACATCGATGGTGAACATGCGCCTACTCTCCGGGAGTCTGATGTATTCCTAGCGATCAGTGAGGACGCAATGCGTCAGACTGGCTCAGTTGGTAGCATTCTCGCCACTGAGTCAGAAGGTTGGGGATTTGAACTCACAATCGAGGCTGACACTCAAGTGCCGTGCTGGGGAAGTACTGCATTGTAGGAGGTGTCGTCTTTCAGATGAAACATTAAACTGGAAGTTAAGGTCCCACAGCAGTTAATAATAATAATAATAATAATAATAAGGCACATGTCCCCATCAGATGATTTCACAATTTAATGTTTGTGCGATATGTAGTTTAAGAAATGATTCTACAGTCTCCACAATTCCATGCCTTTAGTGAGACATTTGCTTTAAATGACTATTTCTCTTAATTCTGTCTGGCGTCAATACTGTCTGAGTCACTGACTTTTGTCCACGTAGAAATGTTACCAGGTGGATGGATATGAGTTAGCAAGCACTTTGGTCTGGTCCTAGACGTTATGAGGCACTTCATCAAATACAAAGATTATTACTAAATGAGGTTTCTTTTACTTTGTCTTCTACTTCTGGTTAATTAAAACCTGAAAGATAAGAATGAGGAACAAATATCTAGCCTCGTCGCTCGGGTTTAGACAGATAACCTCAATCAGGTTTTCCCTCAACATTATTTATTCCAGTGAAAATCAACCCAGTTCTTTTCATCTCTGCTCACAGGTCAGACAACTCATCCTTGGTATCATCCCAGTAAATCTCCTATCCTAGTCAGGGTTTAGCTATATTTCCATTGATGGAGTCCTGTAGCTCAGTGGTTAGAGCACTCGCCTCGCAAGCGAGAAACCTGGGTTTGATTCCCGTCCGGACAAACCTTGGGCAAGTTTCCTTACTCCGCACGCCTGATAATTATCCCTCAAGAAAAAAAAGATAATAAATCGGTTACTTCAATCCACGACTGTTTGTGGGGACGCTGCTGTGCGCAAATTGGCTGCCGCGTTTCACCCACAACTGTACAGACAGTTCACTTTACAGTAGATTTTGTGAAGCACTTTGAGACATCTAGAAGACTGAAGAGCGCCATATCAAATGCGAGGATTATTATTGTTATTATTTTTAGATTTTTCTCTGCCATCACCATACATGACAAAGGATGCGTGAGCTGTTTGCTAATTGCAGCCAAAATTGTTCTAATGGTGAGTCAGCCACAGATAGTTTCTGCAGTCACTCCATGTGATATCTCCTCCTTGCCTGTGGGGTAACATCTGTTTGCTTCCATCAGGAAGTCAGTTTTACTCAGAAGCTCAGCAAGGAAGAAATGGGTCACTGAGTAGCACAGTTCATTATTACACCAACACCACTCCTGTGCCACCCACACATCTGAGTAATTTCACAAGCCATTTGATAACAATAATAAAACTACTGCTACTGATAATAATTCTTGCATTTGATAAAGCACCTTACCACGTCTTCGAGACGTGTCAAAGCGCTTCACAGAATGCACTGTAAAGTGGAGTGACTGTGTATTTTATTTTTTATTGTATTTTCTTCCTGTTTTTATTTCAGATTTCCAGCAACTGCAGGATTTTGCCTTTTGTTTTTGATTGTGTATTTTGTGGGCGAAACACGGCAGCCAATTGCACACAGTCCCACAAACAGTCGTGGATTGAGTAACCAAATTATTATTATCGTTTCATTTTTGAAGGGATTACTACCCCCAGAAAAGCAATCTGCTAATCGACTAACAACCGGGTTCCTATTTACTACTAGATAGACAGGAGTGTGTGTGGAGTAAGGAAACGTGCCTAACATTTCTCCCTGCCCAGGAATTGAACCTCGGTCCTCTCGCTTGCGAGGCAAGTGCTCTAACCACTAAGCTACAGGACTATTTGTTCCTTGTTCTTATCTTTCATGGAGATGGAAAAACATTCAGGAGACGTGGGGTCTAAGTTGTAAGAACCAGAGAATTTACAGGACAGAAGAAAAACATTTGTCCCATTGTCTCTGTGCTGGCTCCTCGAGAGAGAAATCCTTTCAGTCCCATTTTCCTGCGATTTTTCCCCCATGCTCCTGTAAATTACTACTTATTGTAAATAAAACATTCCTAATCTCCCCTTTATCTCCCCTTTTGCTTCCTTGTTAATTATCTTAAATTGATGCCCTCTAGTCATTGACTCGCTGACTAGTGAAAACGCTTTGAGATGTTCTCCCGATGTGAAAGTTGCTCTGTCAAATACAAAGATTATTATTACTTATTTTATCCTAAGTGTTGTCCATCACACATCCAAGATTGACTAATCGCAAATCCTTTCCTGACCCTCATTATTTACAGACTCTTTTTTGTCTCTTTAACTCATGCCTTTCTTATAGTTTCTCTCTAGCTTTTAAGTCTGACTGATTCTTATAAGGAAGCTTAAAAGAAAATGCAGAGGGTGAACTGGAATGGAAGAGGCTATGTAGAGAGCTTTCATGAACCCAAATACTGTGTGTCCACACCCCTCCCAACGTTAAGTGGACTCTTAATATCCCAAGTTAGCTCTCGAAGCTATCGTTTGTAATCTAAACTGAGGACTCGCAGGATTACTTTGGTGCTATAGACTACACGTGCTGCACAAGCACACAGAGCACGTGTCACAAGATTCCAGCAGTGAAGAGGTTAACTTTTACACCTGTTATTGTACACCTGTCTGACTCACCTGCAGGCGTACCTGTGTGTGAGCCGGCCAATCAGAAACAGGGCAGGGGAATCTACCTGTCAGCAAAATTCCTCCACACAACCTGAAGGGAAATAAATAGGGATCCATCACTGACTGCCGACTGCTTTTAACTCAGAAATATCACAGAAAAAAAAACACCTGGATTTTACTGACCTGAGAGAAAGAGAGAGAGAGAGAGAAAGAGAGTAGGAACAGCTGTCATTAAAAAAAACCTCCATTTGGGACGGTTCCTGTGAAGCGAGAGACAATGTCGAAGGAACTTGAGTAAGTGCAAATCTCAGTGTGTGGTTCTATTATTTTTTTTTAATTTCAGGTTTCCCGTTGTGTTGCGTTGTGAATGGGGGGGAGTAATGTGAGACGGGGCCAGTGTTTTACTAACCCTGTTTGCCTCTCTGCTGTGTTTACTGTTTGGAAGAATAGAATGCATGTCAGTTGGCCAGGTTTCAGTGTGGTTGTTTGTGTGTTTTTGCTCATTTCACGAGGAGCTAAGACTTCCAGCACTGCCTCACTGTGTAACATCCGAGCTTCCCGCCTTAAGGTACCTACCTCTACGCTGTCAACTTTAATTCAGCCACATGACAATGTCAAAACCTCCTGTCACCATTGTCTCAATAACGGTTTAGTTCTATGTTTGTGATAATACTAACGCTAACCCTTACTTTTGATGTTTCATTATCGTTGACATCGTTACGTCTCAAAGTGCTTCACTGAGACTTTACTGCAATGCGCAGTGACTGTGTGTTTGTCGTTGAGTGCCCCCCCCCAGCTAATTTGTGCGCAGCTATGTTGCACAAACAACCATGAAGTGAATGAACAACTTGACCTGGGGGATTGTTAGCCAGGACCCCGGGAGAAATTCCCTTCTCTTTTCAGTTTAAAGTCTCACTTGAAGACCAGCATCTCCAACAATGCAACATGTTGCATTGGAGCATCAGCCGAGACTTTAAAAACCCAAAATAATAATAATAACAATAATTCTTGCATTTATAGCGTCTTATCGCATCATTGAGACGTCTCAAAGCGCTTCACCTAATAAACTAAAGTGAATTGACTGTATTTTGCGGGTGAAATGTGGCAGCGAATTGCACACAGGAGTGTCCCACAAACAGTCGTGGATTGAGTGACCAACTTATTATTATTTACAATTTTTTTTGAAGGCATTATTACCCCCGGAAAAGTGATCCGCCAATCGACTAATAACCAGATTCCTACTTAATGTGAGGTAAACAGAGGCGTGGGGAAAATGTTTCGCCCAGGCCGGGAATCGAACCCGGATCCTCTCGCTTGCGAGGCAAGTGCTCTAACCAATACGCTGAGGGTCTCCATAACCTACTGACTCAGAGGCAAGAGTGCTACCAACTGAGTCAGGCTGTGATACTTCCTTGGTGCCAATTTTTTATTGCGCCTTTGGGATGGATAAGATCCTTTTTTTAAAAAAAACATGGAATGCACAGGTTCGGAATATGTTATTTCGCAGTTAGAAATTCACCGGAAATTAAGCGTATGCAGGGAATCGCCAAGTTTATCAACCTCAGAGTCAGGTGCATCTTATTCTCTGCTGTCAGTTAGATCAGCCAGTGAAAGACTACTGATAATAACCCTCTGCCTCCTCTAATCTGAGTTTCAATCATTTAGTGAAGTTTTGTGCTGATTCCCATGATTGCTGAAGTAGGTGTGAATTATTCTCAGTTTTACAATCTGATAGCAGAAACGCAGTGTCCTATCTGACAGGTTCATTCCACAGCGCACTCCAAACCCCGCGGAACTCTTTACCCCCACCGAGAGCGGCACCGTGATAAGGAGGATCGTGCTTTGTTTTGCTTGTCCCCAGAAGATTGTCAGCTCCCTGTCCCCTTCATTCACAGGATTCACAGAGAGGGGGAATTTCTGGCCAACACCCCCCCCCCCCCCCCCCCGAATCAAAATGGTCACTCACTTCTTGGCCATGTATGGGATGTTGCCGCGCGCGATTTTGGCTGCCGGTTTCACCCGCAAATACACTTTACATTAAATTCCGTGAAGTGCTTTGAGACACGGAAGTAGATTGGATAGTAGCTTTTCTACAGGGAATTATACATGTGTTTGAAAAGGAAAAAAACTTGCAGGGATATAGGGTGAGAGTGGGGGAGTGAGACTTGTTGGGAGCTCTTTCATAGAGTCGGCACAGGCACAATGGGCTGAATGGCCTCCTTCCGTGCTGTCAGGCTCTGTGATTCCGCATCTCAATGATGTGATAAAGTACTGTATTGCATCATTCTTTAATATAAGAATTATTAATACTACAAAACACAAAGCTTTATTTTTAAACTGTACAATGTTTTCTCTGTGTATTTTTACATAATAATTTTTATTATTATTATTAATATTATTTTACATTTTTCCAACATAACTGAGCAACAGAGCAACAGAGAGCAAAAAAAATAATCATTGACATAGTGCGCAATTTCTGGATCAGAATCACAACCCTTCAGACACCTGATTGAAACTGAGGAGAAGAATAGTAATAATAAATTATAATCCTTGCATTTGAAGTAGCTCATTATCATGTTGTTGAGACGTCTCAAAGCGCTTCACAGGAACATACAGTGTTTGATTCGTTGCCTTTCCCTTTGGTTTCAGTTAGTTTTTTGGGGACGTCCTCCTGACTTGAAAGGACGCTTGTGTACATGGAACTTTGTGCTGTGTTTTCTCAGGGGGAGTGGTGGTGTTTTAGGTGCAGGAATTACCCAATTTGAGGAACGTCGATGATTTTATTTTTTATTTTGCCCGTTGCTTGGTTATGAAAGAAAACTTTGTGGTGACCTGTGTAAAAACACACAGTGAAACATCACCAGGGGTTTAGGGAAGCATTACATGTGGTTGGGTTTGGCAGAACTGCGCGCTGTGTAAATAAAACCCTCTGCATTAGATGGAGGCCATTCAATCCATCCTGTTTTTCCAATTTGCCCCCACCTTTTTTAATTCATCCCACTCTCTCTCTCCCACTCTCCCCCTCTCTCTCTCTCCCTCTCTCTCTCTCCATATCCCCCTCATCTTGCTTGTTGTTGGAAGGTGACTGTGTGTTTCTAAGTGTTTGATTTGGCAGCTGGCGAATGTTTGAACAGCACTCAGCCTTTTGGGACTGTCGCTCATACATTGGCTCTTTGTCACGCGATATGGGGCAAAGGCGGGTATTTGGAGTTGAGGTACAGATCAGCCACAATCTAATAGAACGGCGGAACGGGCTCAAGGGGCTGAATGGTCCACTCCTGTTCCTATGTCCCATCCATTTACTTGTCTCATTCCAAATGCACACATTAAAGCTTGCAATACATCTCCATTGATTTAATGATAGGTCACAACACATCAACCTCAGAAAGTGCAGTTAAACCACGAGTAGTCTGGTCCCCAACACTGCTCTAAACTGTTGGAGTTTCTGTAACAGTTTTCATGTTGTTATTCACTTTCACCCACAAAATATACTGATAATTCGCTTTCCAGGGGGAAAGAATTCCTGAGTTATTGCTAACAGGAACAGCTCAGAATGAGAATGGTATTAAGAGGCTGGACACACGAGGGAGAAAGGAATAGAAGTTTTGGGGGAGGGGGGATTTGGGAGGGGGTAGGCCAATGTGGAGTATGAATTGTTTTGCTGTCACAGATTTCTGGGTAAATCTATTTAATTCTATGTCAGACAGCAGGAACGAGGAGTCAAAAAATGTGGCAATATTATGATGAATTATGACGCAAAAAAATGATGACTGTTATTCAGGTGGAGTTTCGCAAACGGTTACTAAAGGTCTTGAGTTAGGTGTTACGGGTGACTTCAGCAATAACGTGTGGACTGGGTGGGCACTATTTCCTGGTACAGTCCTGTAGCCTTAAAGGGTCCGTGCAGAAATGAAGTCTGAAGTATCTATCAAATTCTAAAGTGTAGAAATGCCTAGATTCCACTTTGGACCCCCTCCCAAATCCCCCCCTCCTCCAAACCTTCCATCCCTTTCACCTCGTTGCTGTTTAAGGCTTTTGGCTATTTAACTCAATCTGTTGGATGTGCCCTTTGAATTGCAGTCTATGTGCTTTAACCCTCAGAATGGGACTGATTGAATGACAAGAAGGTGCTTGAATATAATAATAATAATATTTGCATTTGATATAGCGCCTTATTACGTCTTTGAGACATCCCATTGGCCAGGCCTTCAGCCTCTCTGGCCCCCTGAAACTTCATCCCACAGTCCCTTCGCCTCGCTCCCTCTTTGCCTTCTTCAAGGCCCGTCTCATGAATCTCCTCTTCGACTGCGCCTTCAGTCATCCTCCTACCTCCACCCTCCTGATCCCAATCCCCAGCTCGGGTCCAATTCCCTGACTGTCCAGCACCTTGGGATGTCCTCCCGACGTGAAAGGCACCGTGTAAATGTCATTTGCTGTTTGTTTGTCAGACTCCACCACTGGCAAGCTCTTCAGGACACTATCCCGCGTGAAGGGTTCTATATATATGCAAGTTGTTGTTGTTTGTTGTTCTACATATTGACCTTCAATGCAAGGAAAGCGTTAACACACGGACAGTGTTGAAAGTCTGGAGAATTTTAAACCTTTGGCTTGGTTTCTAAGCTCCAGAAACGATGGCAACAATAGCGACAACAACTTGCATTTATATTTTGGCCTTATATAATGTGGGTTAGCATCCCAGAGGCCTCAGCTCTGTGCGAATAGCTTCCCCCAAGTGTTGTAATGTTCTTCAATTGATTGCAGGGGTTGAGGAGAGAAGGTTAGGAAAGACTTTTCATTGTCAATGAAACTTTTGGTTTTCTTTAGTTTCTATTGTGATGCTGTAAGCTGGTGTGATCACAGATAACTTGTCACGCTGACAGACCCAGCCCCACATTTGATTTTAAAACAAACTTAAATAGCTGCTGTCAGCCTGTGGTTTCGACAGCAGAAAACGCATTTGCCCCCAGGTGCATTTTTTGATCCTGCAATTTTCTTCCTTGTCTCCGAGTGGGTGTTAGGAGAGTGAAAAGTTCATTAAGATGAAATGGCATAGCGCATCTCTCTGATTTTTTTCTTTAACCTAGCGAATCGGTATGCTCTCGCTGAAGCTTTAATGGAGATTTTAACTGCTGTGTGTGTGTGCGGGGGGTGCTGGGTGGGAAAAGGGTGGGGAGGAAAGCCCCTTCACAAAGCATCGCACGTTAAGTGAGCTGAATATTACAAGGACAGTAACAGACATGAAGCTAGCTGTGTGTTTACTGCTGACTTGTGTTGCCATGAGGCTAAGCCGGGAA